TTTTTTTTTAATAGGCCCAAATATTAAAAACTCACCATATTAAGCAGTAAAAAGGTGTTTCCCCTGAAAATTAAGGATCCCGGGCCGTTGTTTGATCCCCAGAGTCCCCGTATTTGGCCACTTTGAACCTTAGGTTGATCTGCATGTTCCAAATACTACGATACTCTTAGTTTTTACAAATTTAAAAAAGAAAAAAGTCTGAGCGACCCAATTTTTAAATTTTTCGACTTGAGGGCAGCATAAGTTTTTTTTTTGCCTTTATGTTACAATAGTTGGAAGGGAAATGCATAGCATTAATGATATCAGCATATAGTGGTAAACTATATACGATTATATATAGGACACAAAACCACTTCTAATGTCAACTGAACAATTGTATATTTACTTGGTTTGCATATGAAGTTCCCAGACTCAAACTCATGATGAATACCATGGTTACTCTATAATGCTATAAATTTCACATTTACCACAGTACATTGAGACATCACAAATGTGACATACATGTATTTCCTTAACTTGGGGAGTGTTTCCTCATTATTTCAGCCAAAAAATCAAGGAAGCTGTTACTGTCAACACAAATCTCAGCTCTTTAAATTTCAGACAATGTGTTTTATTTACTTTCGAAGTGTTTTAGTGCGAAAATGATAAATATTCAACAGAAAATCTTACTATACATTTCAAAACACATTTACACCAGGTAAATAAAAGACTCTAGTTAGAGAGAAACACGCAACTCAGTCTTTCCTTTCATGTACCATCACTTGGGATCTAGTTTAATAATATTAAAGTAATCTCTACTCTATCTTCTTTAGACCTTGTTTATTTGTGCTGTAAAAAGATGTTGTGGTGTGCATGAGTTAGAAAACACAGCGATTACAGATTTTCCATCAATTGTGTCGTAAAGTCACCAGATCGTAATTATGTTAATTAGTTTCAAAATATTTTTACTGTGATTAGTGTCATGAATCTTGTGCATGAATTCATGTTTAGTAGAGAAATTCAAAGGTTAAAAATAAATGCATTTGACAGTTAACTACCTTCTTCTCTTTCTTGAAGTCCTCTACTATCTAGAAATTCCCTAGATCCATTGGCATCCCAGATGTGAACGTTTTTATCGGATAACTCTTTGGCATTGGTGGAGCCTTTTATAAACCATATTAACTCTTCTGCCACACCACGCCAAAATACTCTTTTAGTTGTTAACAATGGAAACTGGTCTGAATGTACAAGATGATATGTGTGCATTATTACCAGGCTTTGAAAAAAGATGTC